CTCAGACTTTGTCTTCAACAATCGGGAAACCATATGGGACTAATTACTTCCTACCTCACATCTTTCCAATATTCTGTTTCCGATGGATGAGGTCTTGCGATCTGTTTATAAAATGTAAAGGGGTAACTGGGCCTCATTACACACCTAATATGAATGGAAAGCATGGCCATAACCATCATTTTTGACGATCTACATATTTGTACGTAAAAAAGCATGAAATAAGATTGACACCATTTTACTGTACAGTATATTCCAATTTTCCTGCCAGATTTTCTAGAAGCACTATTCTTAACTCTTGTAGGGCTCATGCGGGACACTACTGCTCCATGTTCCTGGCTTTCCCATTTTTCATCCTTCCCCATGAGTTATCCCTAAGAATTGCCACCAGCACTGAAACTGGTCCAGATGGGTGTGGAGCTAATCAGCAAGCTGCCATGAATGCCCAATAACATTGAGAGATCTGAGGCACAGGGCAATCCTCAGGATGATGTCTTTTGGCACATGCACTGAATTTATCAACAACTCCAGCGCAGAAACTTGGAATGAAACAACTTCTAGTCCGTAAGCTGTAACTGTTTACAATGCAAGTGCTGATAACAGAGATAGGTTGCTGATTCTAGCTTTTCTTCCCGAAAAATCTACAGTTTTTATTGTCACACTTTAGTAGAGAAGGCAAATGGGACGTTGGTACACTACCTTCCTGATTGTGTGGGCAAGCTGCTGCAGGAAACCTAGATGACTCTCTAGGCTACACCCCTGAGTTTGAGAGGCCAAGAGGGGAGGAAGATCCACTTCATGTTGGGGAGACAAGATAAATAGTGTCATATGGTCACGTAAAGTTAGCAATACACCAACTGAGATAGTAGGAACTGCAGATGCTGGAGAATCCGAGACAACAAGGTGCAGGGCTGGATGAACACAGCAGGCCAAGCAGCATCATAGGAGCAGAGAGGCTGACGTTTCGGGCCTAGACCCTTCATCAGAAAAGGGGGAGGGGAAGGGGGTTCTGAAATAAATAGGGAGAGAGTGGGAGGCGGATAGAAGA